GGAAAGGGGTAGAAGGACGGGGTTGTGAGTGAAAACGGACATCGGAGGACATAAGCTGGACAAGTGAAGCGAAGCGGCAGTGATAACAGACTTTCGCTCATTCAGTGACTATGACCAACATTACGTGCAAGTTCAGGTCCAAAAAGTCCATAGTGGGACTAGCTTTTGGACGGCAAATATTAAGGCACAAGTCAAACAGAAGGGAAAAGCACACATTTAACATGAACAATAAGCAAAGCATTTTACACACCTGTTACCCACAGATGTCTGCAACACTCAATTACAGAAACCCTTTAATGTACATGCTAAATGTGCACAAAAAATAATCTCACCCGAAATGCAGCTGTCATCCGATATGGGAACATCCAGGTATATGTAACCTCGGTTGTACAAACCTTTTAAGAAAGAAAAAGCAGCCTATCTGAATCACATTTCAGCCGGTCATGCGAGTTTTCAACATTTATATAATGTGTCGATGTCATTTATTTACAGACATCTTAAACGAAGCGCTTACGCACAACCAACCACTACCACCAATATCCTGGATAGAGAAAGACGGATTCTGGGCCCAGGGAATAAAGAGAAACCCAGACGGAAAGTACTGGGGGGGGCGGCAGGCAGAGAGCTGGGGGCGCGCTGCATAGGGGGCCCATCAGGGGAACCCCATTGAAGCTGCTGACTCATCTGATCAAAATCAGGCGACAGCGTGTGTGACAGCCTCCCCCGGACAGAGTGGGGCGACCAGGTGCTCCCTGACGTCTCTGACAGGTACACGTAGAAGGTTCTAAGGAGACTCGCTGGAGTCAGATGCAGGAGGCAGGAAGAAAAGCCTCCGTCATGCGACTCACGTCGCTGCTCGGGTTTAAAGCCGAAAGCGGAGACAGGCAGCGCGGTCGGCCGCGCGGAACTCAGCGGCCTGGCGGGCCGGTCACCTGACACCTGGACTACGCAGAAACAGTCAGCCAGACCGACGCCACGCCCACGGACTCACTCAGAACCACGTTGTACTCCATGGAGCCGGCTAGCTGTGGACCGGCGTCGATCATCTTGTCGATTGCCTTCTTCTCTCCCGGGGAGCAGATCTGGGAAGGGGGGGGGGTTTACACATATCAGCAGGGAGAAGAACGAGTTTAAAAGTGCTGTGACAAGGTTCCAAAAGCTGAGACAGGGCAGGAGCGAGGTACCCGGGTCATGTTTCACCTTGTCTCGTTCATGACAGACAAAGCCTCGCTGCAGATGTGAATGACCCATTCATTTATGGCTGTTCGGGGTGAGCGCACACTGAACACCTAAGGACCACTGACCCGGTGGGAGTCACATCATTCAGAAGAGACGCGTCTCACCCTGATATCATCCTCCGTGATGTAGCCCGTCTGCACCACCCACCATGGCTCCACAGCTATCTCGACAGGTTTTGAGGGCAGCAGGTCCCGCGCAGATTTCCTGCGGAAAAATTTCTGGGGGGGGGGGTGGGCAGGAGGTGCTGGTGAGCCAAGACCTATGACCTACGACTTATGACCTACAACCCACAGACACAATCTTCAGGCCTCATAGGCAGAGCCTCGATTAGTTTCCCTGAAAAATTAAAACTACATCTTAAGAAAAAACAAAAACACATAAGCTCACTTTGCTTGGCATTTGTTACAGCACAAAAAGAAGTTCTTGATAACTTCAATCTCTTTTCAGCTGCACTAGTCATACTGTAGTGGCTAGAAAGGGCACAGAGTAACAAAGTCAGACTTCAGTGAGGTGTGGGCAGCACCGCTGGGAGATTCTTACTTTGGAAGACCTGCACTGGTTCATCAGGTCGATGTACTGGTTCCTGCCAATTCCCAGAAGCCTGAGACCTGAAAGCGGATCGCAGGACAGTCGTGAGCAAGGAAGAATGCAAAGGCGTGTTCTGTGGTGACACGTCTGGTTTAACATCATCATCACTCCAGGAATTCAACAGCACAATGGGAGGATGGCTGGCGTAAAGGAAAGTGGGCAGGGCCTCGGGTTCAAGCCGTAGACTGGCACAGGCATATGGTCGGCCAATGCCCTTAGTATACACTATGGGTACAGAGCATAGAGGAAGGTACAGATTACACAATACCTGCAGGAGGACGGGGCATCCGTACACAGTACAATATGGGTACATAGTTCAAAGGACCCTAGTACAGATTACACTGCACAGGGCAGAGAGAACAGGGCACAGTCAACAGGGCACAGTCAACAGGGCACAGTCAACAGGGCACAGTCAACAGGGCACAGTCAACAGGGCACAGTCAACAGGGCACAGTCATCTTCCCAGATATACTTACAGTCAGCAGCAGTGAAGTTGGGAAGCGAGTCATAGCTCTTCTCGCTGTTCATGATGTCCTGTCGAAGGAAAGGAGAGACCATCACTGAAGATCCCCCCACCGTACGGTAGGTATCTCCACCCAGCCCACAGACTCCAGGCCCCAGGAACCTACCTCCATGATTCCAATGTAGTAGGAGAAAGGGGTGACCCTGAGGCCCTTAACCATGATGTCGGACAGGTGGTACGGGTACAGCATGAGGTGCTCTCGGCTGTACTTCAGCAGCTCCTCATAATACTTTCTCTCATCCTTCTTCACATGCCTCACTGGACAGGAAAAAAAAAAAGGCCGCGACCTTCTCACTCATCTCCACATATCACCAGTTTCAGACTTTCAGTCTCCTTCCAGATTACTATGACCACAGAACCAGCCATCCATCTTTGCACTGCTTACTCTAACCCTGTCCTGACAGCACAGGGCAAACGCTGGACAGACTAGGACCAATTAGCTTAACCGTATGTCTTTGGATGGAGGAAGGAAACCAGTGCAACATGGAAAGAAAATACAAACCACAGTAACACAGAGAGGAGGTCAGATTTGAGCATCCAACCCAGGAGGTCTGTAGTAATAGGGCTCCCCGCTGAGTCACTATGCCTTCCATTATCAGAATCATAATATACTAAAATACCTAGGTGAAGCAGTGGGATCAAAAAAATAGTTTTAGAAAAACATTTCGTTTGAACCATTAACCTGTTAGCACAGCTTGGTCTTTTTCTGGAGCAATTCAGCCAGCACCTCCTGGGACTTAAGCCTGAAACTAAGCTACACATCCAGCACACCAGCTGAACTTCTGGCTGAAAAATACGCTGTACCGTCACCACAGTGCAGGGCAAACTCAACAGGCATCTAAGGTGGATACAACAATTCAAAAGCTACAGATATGTCGTAAAAAAAAAAATCACTAGATAATTTAACATCCTAAACCCCTCGCAGTCACTCTCCAAACTGTATGGCAGTCTACCAAACTTAATAAATGAAAAGCAGTTTACAAAGCTTCCAGTTAGAGCTGGACATTTTTATAGGAAGCTTTTATTGAAATTGCCATTAAAGACCTTCATTCTTGCGGTCACAAGCCCCGCTCTGACTGTCCTTCCGAGCCACATTAACAGAACTCTTTTCCATAAAGGTCGCAGACAAGGACCGACAGTTCAAAGCTGGATCCTCGGATGACAGATGAACACTTTCTAAAAGACAGAGACATCGGGCACAGTGGACTCACCCAGGTTATTGCGAAAGCGCAGCTGGTTTCGAATACTGTACAGCAGGACATGCTTCTCATATTCGCGCTGCGAGTTTCCCAAACTCTGACCAACACCACAAAGGAAGAATTGATGTGTTAGTCACGCAGCTGACCGTAAAAGAGGACACAAAAGTATGTTTAAATGCATCCAATCTGCTTTAAGGCCAGCTGCAAACACTAGCATGGTACACATTTTGTTAATCACCACTGACTAGTTAGTCATATATCAAAATAATTAAGTTGTCTTAAGCTCACTGATTGTGTAAGTCTGTCAAATGGTTAGGTGGGGTAGCTTTAATGAGTTTCCAGTGTGGAATCGTCACCTGGTCAAAGACATCAGCTAAATAACAAAGAATGATAACAGGACAACAGATCATTTCAGTAAAAAGATGACACTCTGTGGCTGATAGCCTACTCTTAAAGGTAATGAGCTTTGGCCATTTAACCCACAATTGCTCCAGTGGCAGATAGCCTATTCTTAAAGGTAATGAGCTTTGGTCATTTAACCCACAATTGCTCCAGAGACTCACTGATCCTGCTTTCTCAAATGTATGTTGCTTTAGATGATTATGCACCAGTAACAGCAACACTGTCAAAGATGATGCCCTAGTAAAGGGTGTAAAAGGTGACACACTGGAAAGTTAACGCACAGGAGGATGTGGCATACTAGTAGATGTGACACACTGGTAAAAGTAATGTTCATACACCAGTAAAGGTGACACACTGGAAAGTGTGACACACCAGTAAAGGTAACACACTGGTAAAGGCAATGCTATAAAAAGCTAAGACCCTGGCAATGTTGGCACACCGATAAAGATGACTCACTGGAAAGCATTGGTAATGTTGGCACACTACGGTGACACACTAGTAAGCACTGCTGTGATGCTCGGATCGAGGTAATGCTCTACATGGTAACGCGCAGTACCGAAGAAAAAGGCGGCAGACTTTAAAAGGTGACACTGCATCTGTCAGACATTCACAAGAGAACCGTGCTTATTAAAAAGACACGCTTTAGTAGACGGACAGGACCCGATACCTGGCGGACGTTGGCCGGCAGCTTGCTCCAGGGGTAATTCTGCCTGATGTGAAACTCTACGTCCGTGTTCATAGCGACCTTCCGTCGAACCGCTGAAAGCTACGGCAACGAACCGGGCTCCGGGCAAGACTGAGGCCACCTTGCGCCCCGACGCAGCCTACGCTCCCAGTTAGTCCTGTGTTAAAATATAATTTTTCCGTACTGTGCAGCGAAATGTCGGCTTCCCTACTTCCTTATTGTATTTTGGAGATACTCGGCGAACCGCGTCGTCGTCACTTCCGCCGCCGCAGCTGTGGCTCTGACGTCACGCGCCTCGGGGCGCCTGGCGCGGGAGCGGCGGGAGGATGGCGTTATAAGCTGCGCCAAGAGCCTGAGCGAGAGTGGGATAAGCGGCTGAAAGATAAGATAAGAGCGCACATATACATAGAATTTTCTAAGGATCAAAAAGTGTGTCTTTTAAAAACTGTAATTGTAAAGAGAGGTAGAATCTCTCAAAAAAGACAGAGGAGTACTTTTTGTAATTTAGTTTCTGAGTCCATGAAGAAAAAAATCGATCACTGGTGTCTTCTTTTTCACATATTGCTTAATTCTAGGTAATAACATCCCCTAAAAATGGATCAACTGTCAATTATTTGAAATACGAACAATCTGCCACAATGGGACATCATAGATTCAGGTAAGTGTATATAAATTGTTATGTCTTCCAGAGAGAGACCCCTTGATTACTTGCATTTCAACAGAGATACCAAGAACCTCACTGTCCCTGTCATAGACCAGCCGTGTCGCAAAGGAACGCACAAAAAAGTCTCAGGGAAGTCCCTAATTGAGGGCCATGTGCTACAGCAGTATAGATGCATCTGACTATTTTCTAGTCTAGTCTAGATAGAGTCAAATATCAAATGTTCCACATTTTCCAGAATGTGTGGTCCACACATATGTGCACCAGCTGTGGTCATCAGGAACAGAAGCTACATCATCAGCAGTAGGGACAGTGTTGTTTTCTTAGCCAATGAAAATCCTATTAAATCAAAGGCTTTGAACCACAAACTCTCAATTTCCATTTAAGATGAAGACTGTCACTTGTTTAACTCAACACTCACTCATTGACTACAGACCCATGACCCTGACATCAGTCATCATGTAAACCTTTGAACAGCTGATTCTCTCCCACCTGAAAGCTCTCATGGATTCACTTATCGACCTCCTACAGTTTGCCTACCAGGCTGACAAGTCAGTGGATAAAGGTCCTGAACAAAAAATCAACCATTTTCTCATTTGACATGTACTGGTGTAGTGCTTGTGTGGTACCAACTCAAGCTTCACATTCAGACAATGTTTGTAAGGTGTTTGTTCTTTTTATAGGATCAAAGAAACTTCCTGGTTGTGGTCATGGCTCCGGGAGACACACAGCATCATATACAAGTTAAATGTAACTCTGCTCAAATGTGTAGAGTGGTGGCTCTGAGGCTAGGGATCTGTGGCGGTAATCGGAAGGGTGCTGGTTTGAATCTCACGAATGGCAGGAGTAGTTCTACTCAATTGGGCCCTTAACTTGCAATTGCTTTGTTCTGGGGTGTGTTGTTAACCTATGTCTGGCCCTGTAAGCAGATCCTCCATCTTTCAGGAAAAACTTGGGTGCTGGTGGCAGGATTGGAAAAAAAAACTTCACATTATTCCATTTGGAGTGCTGAGGCATCACTTGCTGCAGTTGTGTTCTCATCCCTGTGGTGGGTGTGGCAATGTGCTGTATCAGCATGTGCTCCTTACCTCAAATGTGGCCTTTAAAAACACTGGATGCCTTATGTTTTTGGCTCAACTCTGCCCTCTGAAGAAAGTTAGCTGTTATAACAGCTCAATGGAAAACATCATCAATCCATCTTCCATAACTGCATCTTCTGTACAGTGTCAGAGAAAGGATGAGGTACGAGGCAGAGGACACCCTGGTAGGTGCCACTAACAAAAAATTGAACAGGGATTTTTAAACGTGTTTTGAACTTCAAATTATTGAAATGTTGACATTTTATATAGTTTGTAAAGTATTTCTTTCACGTTATCAGTTTATCTGATGCCTTTATCCAGAGCGACTTACAGTATAGGGAAGCATTGCAATTTATTTGTGCTCCCTGGGATTTGAATCCACAACCTTTGTGTTGTTAGCAGAATGCTCTATTTGGTTCAGTCACTGGTTTAATTTCAGAGTCACTCATTCCAAGGCAGAAGATAAAAGGTACCAATGATCAGACATGAAGTGTGTTGTAAACCTACTGCATTGAGACTTTTTGCATACTGTGCAACAAAAGATCAAAGATATATCTGAATTTTGGCAGGAGAGCTGTTACACTTATACAATCATACCTGTGAAACGGGACACATCCACGAGGTGAGAGATTGCTGGAGCTAATCCCAGGCACCATTTGGGCCAGGAATGTACTGCAAGTCCCACAAGACATTGCTAACATTAAGGCCCAAAGCCATGATGGTTATGTGCTGCTCTGATACAAATGCGAGATTGAGGAGGAAAAGTCGAGGCTTAATGTTAAACGAGAAGAGGCAGAAGGTACTCGAGAAAAAGATCCAGTAGTGATGACTCACTTCATTCGGATGGTTCTTTATTCACCCACGAGGTTCTGTGTCCTACACATTCATTCATTGCAGTTGATGTGTCAAACAGTGCATGAGGGGTAAAAGCATTAGGACCAGACCCATTTCTTTCAGAAAGTCGGAGCTTCAGGTACAAGTGCCGTGGAAGATAACTTGTTTATCATACTGTTTTAAAATGTCAAATGAAAAAGCAGGTTGATAAATGAAAATACAAAGATTACAAACTCTGAGAAAGTAAATAGCAATTTAAATAAAAATTATAATCTATATCTGTACTTCACTCCCAATGTGGGAACATTTACATTTGAATAAGATGCATTTTCATATGTGCTGAAATAATTGAATTCAAAGAAGTGTCTGAATGTGAACCAGAGATTAAACTTAAAATGGATCCGGTTTTAAATGGGAAAAAAACATGGATTGGACGGATGTCAGGACATGTAGCCCCCATGAATCCAAAAAAGATTTCACATCCTTGGGTTGGAAACAGATTTTGGTCCACATAGAGCTCTTACTGCATTTGTGCTCCAGGCAAACTGTCGAAGCAGGTTTGCTATGGACTCAGGGGAGCTGGAGAGTTCCAGAACCTCAGCCCCTTCTAGGAGCAAGTCTTCAGCAACCATCAGCTCTCCCTCCCTCAATACAGCTGTGTTTATTGCCATAAAAGGACCCTAAAAAGCCGTAGGAAGAAGATGAACTGGTCACAGACCAGTAAACCGACATGAGTAGCTAATTAAAGTCAATGTGTGTTGCGCACACATACACAGACAAACACACACACACAGATAACATGTATGAAGAGGGAAAGGGAAACACTACTCTTCACCACTGGTCCAATGCATCCAAGTATTAAGAGAAACAGGAATTAATTTAAAAACAAAAAAGTGTTCTGCCAAGAACCAAGATCACACCACTGAGAAAGTGCAACATTAATATTATAATCATTATTAATAAAAATATACTCAAAATTTTAGCTCAAAGAAACACTGTACAAACACACAGCAGAGACCGTGACATTCATGTCTGCCCCCGCTGGTGTCTCAGGTTCAAGACACGTAGAGACCCGATTGAATGAAGTTGATAGACAATCACGCCAGGTCAAAACACCATTCAGAGAACATCTTTTGGCACTGACCAAACCTTTAAGGAAGAGAGGGGGAAAAAAGCAACCACCCACTCCATGCTCTTTCACACACTACTGTATATAATCACAACAAAGTGTGGTGCATTGTGGGTACCCATCCAGGCCCTGAAGAAACAGGGCAGAACGCTGAAACAAGACTAGCTTTGGCTAACCCATCAGGAAAAGAAGAGTGCTGCGTTTAAATTTAGACATAAATTTCCAAATCGTACGCACAAAGGTCCTCAAAAATAGAAATTAAAATTCAATAATAATAAAAGTATTCTGACAGATTTTCAATAGGCAAAACCTGCATCACCTAAGTAAATGCCTCATTCTTCTCTCCTCAGATTTAACCACTTAGAAATAATAAAAAGTAGAGCTTCTTACTAGAGCTCTAGGCTGCTGGGATGTGTATAATCAGCCCCCTACTGAGTGGGACAGCCCACTTTTCCTGAGATGGGGTCCCCACAAAGCAGGACAGGGTCCTCCCCCACATCACTCATGTACCTCTGCCCCCTAGTGGGACAAATGTATTACACACTGGTGAAGAACACACAGCTACGTTATTCTGCCAGCCGGAAAAGGAGCACGCAACTACAATAACACCCATAGCATAGGAATCCCTGTCACTGTGCTGCATTGATTCAATCCTCAGCCTGAGTGCCTGTGTCTGTGTCCTGTGACTTCACTGTAACACCTGTTTGAGTCACCCCCCCCCCCCAAATCTAGTCTCCTGAGAGATGACATCCAGCATCTACACCTCACTGATCGTTCTCTCAGATGGGCAGTAGCTGGCAGAGTCGGCTGGCGACACATAGAGCGAGTGCGTCTTGCGATTCAGCCGTGCACGTTTGGTAGCCAGCGACAGGCTGCGCTTGCTCGATGAGATGATCTCCGAGATGAACTTCTTGCAGTCTACGCAAACCTCCATGACACTCCAATCCTCTGTCAGTTCCTTGGGAAGCTCCAGGTCGTCATGGGATGTCTTTGAGCCATGCCTGGACAACCTTGCAGAAGTGGACACGGCGCAGTGTCAGCAGACATGATATGCACAATCATCTGGTTGGCAGTTCCTCACCAGAGGCGGCACTGTTTTACCAACAGGCCCACAGTACCTGGAAACTGTGCGGTGGAAGCTGTGCCGACTGCTATGGGCCTTCTCAGGTTTCGGGGTGGCTTGGCCTTTGGCCAGGGTGCTGGGCCCCAAGGAATAGATGGGCAGACTGGCATAGGGCTTGGAAGGAAGCCGCATCTAGGGGACAATGTTGGCATTGTTGGCAGAGCATCACATGTCAATCTGAAGGTGAATAGCGTCAAAGGTGGAAAAACCTACCTTTTTACAGCACTGAGAGCATACAGGCCTGAAGGATAGGAAACAGGAAGTGGATATTACCCAATTATCCTACTACTAAGAACTGTGAGAACTCCCCAGTATGCATCCTTGACATAAATACAAAATTGTTCTCTAGAACCAGTGACTTTGGAATGATGTATCTGACCTCCCATTGTGTGTTCAAAATTCAATATAAAACTTTTTTTCTCTCTAGGTTACTAAAATCTCATTGTAAACTGCCTTCCTGAGAAATGTTGAACATCATGTCTGTTTTTTTCAGAATTTTTGGGATCTTCTGGATTAAAGTACTACTGGATTGCAGTTAGATGTACTCTGGGGTTTCGAAGTCCAGAGAAAGGGCATTCATTACCTTTTGCAAAACTGACATGTGTAGGACCAAGTGAAGAAGGAGAACCTCTTGGTTCGGCAGGAGAAGCAGAGCTGCGGGAGGTAAGGAAGTATGTTCATAAGCCACCTGAGCCACCTTCACAGCATCCACATCTGTGATTATCATCTTGTGTTTTTGGAAGAACATTAGTGTTTCTACGAGAACTGTGACGCCAGACAGATGACACTGACCTTCCCTTTCTTGAGTGCGTTGTAAACGTCCCTGTACTGCTGGAATTTCTCCAACTCGGCCTTAACCAGTACCTGCCGGATGTGCATCACCTCCTCCACTGTGAGGGACAGGCATTCCACTGGGAAGCAGAACTCCTCCTACAACAACATATAACCATGGCAACCCCTCCAGCCAGACAAGAACTTTGGCAAAGGTTCAGATAGATTTCAGGGGCAGACAGAGACGAGGGCCAAAGCACAAAGACATACTTGAGGGCTGCATACACACTCGTATCCCAGAGACAATATATTGAGCAAAAGGGGGATTGGGCACTGCTTCAAGGCTCAGGCAGAGAAGGGAAGATGTTTTCAGACTTTTCTGACTATTGCGGGCAACTTCAGCCCTTTCAGAATGAGGTATGATTGTTGGATGTGAACCCAGATGTTCCTTGTGTTAGCTCTATTAGCAGGGTGGCCTACAGAGAGCAACACAGCCAAGCTTGTGTTCTTGCAGTTGACAGTAGACTATGGCACAGAGATGAGGTAATTGAAAGGTGAGGGCCGTGTACCTTTAGGCTACACTTCTGCCCATCTGCAATCACCAAACTCAGTGTTGACCTGCTTTTCTGCTAAGGATGCCTACTCTCACACACTAACCTCCAGAGTCTGTTCACCAGGATCCCCACCTTATAGTGCATTTCTGCTAGTTCCGTTTGTGAGAGCTACGTACCAGCGACTTCGAGCTCTGCCGTGTTGGCGGCACGAATTGGCGGACACTGGTGGGGGTCTCCTTCTCAATGGAGTGTCTTCTCTGCTGCTTGGGGCGTCTCTCTGGTTGGGGGGTTGACGAAATAGGCAGGAACATGGGCGGAGCTTGGGGGCGCAGGGGAGAACGATACAAGAGTTACGATGCAAGCAGGAACTGGGGCATAATTCAGGTTGGCGTCTCTGTCTCTGGACGGAGGGACTCGGACATACTCTTTCTGCCCTTGGACTCAGGGGAGGTTTCATCCATCAAGGATGTGGACGCACTTGAGCTGCTGGCTGACTTGCGTCCTGTAAAATCCTCCTGAAGAATGAGGAGAATCCAGTGTTAAATAACCTCACACACAGTGACTATATAGTCAGTCTACACTCCCACCTCACCACATTCACCATCCTTAATAAAGAAGTGTTGTTTTTTCTTTTTTTTCCCAAGTCGACACCGTGTGACTGTAGACACGAAATCCCAAACGACTGGCGAGTTTCACACACACCTCAGAGTCGGAGCTGTCAAGTTCTGCCAGTGTGGGAGCTTTCAGCAGCCTCTTCCTCTGGGACAGTGCCTGAGCCCTCGTCAGCCCCCTCTCCTCACTCTGGGCTTGCAGGGTCCCGTTGGTCAGAGCCAGGGTACTGATGGCCGTCCTCCTGGGGGCCTCGGGGGTGTATGAATCTGTGGCCAAAGGCATCACGGCACACCTGGGCTTCAAGCACTACTGAACATGATGAGGATACCAAACAAAAGCCCTGTGTGTGTGTGTTTGGGGATTAGGTTTATATTACATTGTGGGGGACATTCGGTCTCCACAATGTGATAAAAACCTGTTATTTTGACGTTGTGGGGACCATTTTTCAGGTTCCCACAAAGATCAATGTATGGAATAAAAAACTAAAAATGCCAAAAGTCTTATGTTTTGTTTGGTTACTTACGGTTAAGGTTAGGGCTGGGTAGGGGTTAAAGATCGTCATGTTGGGATTAGAGGTTTCGCCATAGAAATAAATGGAGAGTCCCCACAAAGATATAATTACAAACCTGTGTGTGTGTGTGTGTGTGTGTGTGTGTGCGCGCATCACTGCATGAATAGCAGTGGCTTGGAACAGCATTAGACACACAGAAGCGCTCTTTCTATTGGATTTGCCAAAACAGGGTCTGTTCATTCACACAGGCAGCTGGAAACAGCCTAGCAGACGATCCAGGGCATGACTGAGGAGGCAGAAGCATGTGACACACTGATTTATAAGCGCAGGAGGCCAAGAGCACCACAAGGGGGAGGGAGGGTGGGACTACAGCAGCCACAAGCCGTCTGTAGATTCAGGACCTGGGGGTTCGCAGTGAGACAGACCCCGACAGAGACAGACAGGCACGGGGTGCCCGGCTGAACAGAAGGCAGCATGTCAGCATGTTTACCTGGGCCGCAGAACTGAACGTGAGGAGTGCTGATGCTTTTCCCAGAACCTGAAAAACACCACCACCTCCTTTAGAGATGATCAACAACAGTGACAGCCTCACCCCTCTACCCCCCAGCACCTGACATGCAATCATCCAGCAACATGTAGTCACAGAACATAAGAACTATACAAACGAGAGGAGGCCATTCGGCCCATCGAGCTCGCTTGGGGCTCAGAGTTGTTAAAGTCTTATCTAGCTCTGATTTAAAGGAACCCAAGGATTCAGCTTGCACTACGTTATCAGGAAGACTATTCCATACTCTGACTACACGCTGTGTAAAGAAGTGCTTCCTTAAATCCAGTTTGAAATGTTCTCCCGCTAATTTCCACCTATGGCCACGAGTTCTTGTATTTGAACTAATGCTGAAGTAACTATTCGGTTGAACAGCATCCAAACCTGTTAGAATCTTATAGACCTGGATCATGTCCCCCCTCAGTCTCCTTTGCTTGAGGCTGAACAGATTTAGCTCAACTAACCTTTCCTCGTATGACATTCCTCTAAGACCAGGAATCATTCTTGTGGCCCTACGCTGCACCTTTTCTAAGGCCGCAATGTCCTTTTTAAGATATGGTGACCAAACCTGCACACAATATTCTAGGTGAGATCTCACCAAGGAATTGTATAATCTTAGCATTACCTCCCTTGACTTAAACTCCACACACCTGGAGATATACCCCAACATCCTATTGGCCTTTTTTATTGCTTCCCCGCACTGGCGAGAATGAGACATGGAAGCATCAACATACACATCAAGGTCTTTCTCATAATCAGCTACCTTTATTTCAGTAGGTCCCATAAAATACCTGTACTTTATATTTCTGCTCCCTACATGGAGTACCTTACATTTGTCTATGTTAAATTTCATCTGCCAGGTATCGGTCCAGTCACTAATTAAATCAAGAACCCGCTGTAGCTGCTGAGCCGCTAGTTCAGTATCTGCTACACCACCCACCTTGGTGTCATCTGCAAATTTCACCAGTTTACTGTATATATTGGTGTCTATATCATTTATGTAAATTAGGAACAATAGTGGTCCTAAAATTGAACCCTGCGGTACCCCACTATGAACGCAGGCCCACTGTGACATTGTGCCTCTTATAACTACTCGCTGCTTCCTATCTGTTAACCAGTAATCAATCCAGGTCGCTACAGTTCCTAAAATACCTACATGTTAGGTGAAGACAGAGATTCCATAGTAACAGGGATTGGACTACATAAATATAAATGGATCCACTGGGAAAGTAAGTCCTGAAGAGTGTAAGTTTATCTCCAAATAGGGCAACCTCTCCAGATATCTCAGTGGTCATTCCTGCAACCTTTTGACTCCCTGTAATTGACTTGCTGAAATCCCACAGGCACAGAAAGACCCTTAATGACAATGTGGTAACTAACATCACTACATCGTGAAACGTGGTGCGTGCAACACTGACTTAAGAACAAGCCAATGATAAAGCAGCGGATTTACAAAAAGCGGAGGCCTGAAGACTGCAAAGAAGCAAGCACATTTGAAAGTCAAGTTAAAGTAATTATCTGGTAATGCGTGACGGTAATCTAGAAGGACAGATGAGAAAAATAGGAGATAACACTGATGGCAGATCTTAAGGTCTATGAGAAGATGCAAGACAGTCGAGAAGCAACAAGGGTACAACATGGAAGACGTGGCCCTCACACAGTCAACAGTCCTGTTTGAAGGTCTGTAAAAGCCCCTTTTCACTAGCTTTTTCGCAATGGTCTTAAACAGGACAAGCTCAGCTTTCTCATCTGTCAAATGAGACTCTAATGACAACATGACTGATTGAGCAGAATGAAGCAGGTGAACGGCAGTGACAGTCCATCAGTTAGTCAGACAAAATTTAAGGAGACACTACTCACTGGTTTGCCGGCAAATTGTTCACAAATATGGTAATCTTACGAGATTTAATATCCGTGGAATTATCCGGTCATGCAGCTGCGTGTGGGAATGTGAACACATAGCCGCCCGGCATCTCACCCAAGCGGCTCCTTCGAATCTGATCAGGGGACACCGGCCGAAGCTTCCGTTCGGTCTTGATCTCCTCCAGGATTCGTTCGTGCAGACTGCGTGGCCTTGGATGGTGGGGCTTCAGTTTGCGAGCAGCCACCTACACACACACACACACACACACACACACACACACACACACAGGAGAGACGGGCAGACTGAGGGCAAAGCAGCAAGCTCCGTTGCCCCCTTGGGATCGATAGTGCTGCTGAAAAAGGACATGGGGGGGTGGCTAACCCTGAAAATGGGCAGCTATGACTACAGAGAATAATAGGCACCATTTTAGTGGCATCATCATCAATGACAACAGAAGGGCACAAAAGGAAGGGTCAACTTACAGGGTTGAGAGGAGGTCTAGACCTTATAAAGTCTAAGATGACCTCGTGCGCACTCTTCTTTAACCGCGGCGGGATGTCGCCATTAACCTGATAACCAATCAGGAGAAAGCCAGGTCACACTCACAGAATCACTGATCTACCTCATCACCACGCTGCCAGACCTGCACTTCTCATGAAAATGCATCACACAAGATGCTGATTCTGCATGTTTGGTTCTGTTGACCACGTGCCAAAGATGGAACATCACAGCATTAAATAGAATGACACACATTATTAAAAAGATGCAGTGAGCCACAGAAATTGGCATGGTGTGTGTGTGATTCAGAGAGCACGAGCGGGATGTACCAGCAGAACAATATCCCCACACTAAGGAACCGAAGCTTTTCAGTATTATCCAAACCCAGTGTGGCTATTGATAGAAATGGCAAACCATTGATATTTAGCAAGATTTAGAGCCCATCTGTCAGGTCACAGCTGTTGGTGAGAACCCAGCCCGTTCAGCAGTCACATGTGATGGGTATTAATGCCATGAGACCTTTATGCATGTTTATGCATGGGAGCGTCTGCATACTTATCGCATACTTGTTATAGGTAAAACATGTAATGGATTTAAATATGCATTTATGAGTCACATTAATGAGGGGGTGTGCAAGCTTAGACATTAGTCATTGAGGGTGTGGTTGATTGTTTGCTGGATTTGAGCAGATGGGTGAGTCTGTATTCACTCCCTTCTGCAGGTACGCACAAAAGTGCCCTAACCTTTTTACGCTACTAGACATTCCTCTTATTCACGTAGTTTATCATCCAGTTATGTTAGCACAAAACCCGAAATACTTGACAATTAAGTTTAAACAACAAAAGGCCGTCTACGCTATGCAAGTTGTTCACATACATTTACTTACATAGACAAGGATGCGTTTGAGGGACAAATGTATCAAGGTAGACAAGAAGTAAGAAACAATACCCCTCATAAAACTGACTTTCAGAATGTCATCATCTGTACCCTTTGCTACCAGTAACAAAATAGGTGACAGGTTCACACATTCAAAATCAAATAATTTGTGTACTGGCCAGATGGAAGGTAAACACTGCTTGTAGAACCTAGTGGGTGTGTCTGCGTTCTGTCCTCAATCCCGTAACTAGCCTAACACCACCCGCAGTCCCAGACTCACCATGACTTTCCGCAGTTTGTAGCGTTTGGATCGGATGTCGTCCATCAGCATCTCATAGGGCGTAAGCTGGAACTCAAACGGTAAGGGATCGTACGTTCTCTCTTCGACTTTCTTCAGTTTGACCCCATGCCTCAGGTCCCTCATGACCTGCACCCAGAACCTGGCCTGAAGAAAGAGGGAACCGATAGTACTGACATAAAGAGAAAGAACCCTCTCCCAGAATCCTCTGTTCTGGACCGATAAGCCCCTCCTTTTACCCAATCAGCATTCTGCAGCTCTGTCAGGTCTTGGACAGGTTCCTCCGTTCTCCCACCCTCCATCTTCCGCAGGTTCTGGTCATTAGAGAGAAAGACCAGGCTTTAGATGAGCCTCTGAACACCAACATCTTCCCGCGCGGTCAAAGTCAACCATAACCCGTGGAGCTTAGGAATCAAGAACTGGCTGTGAACAAATCAGGAAACCTGCAAGTAGTACAGTTTTGGATTTGCAGAGATGCCCTGCCCAGCTTCGCAGGTAAACTCTAGCTTGACAAGTCAAACAAACAACCTACAAAAAGTATATGTTTTAATAGCTGGAATGAAGATATGGGTACA